TTGCAGAAATCCTGCAATGCCTTCTCAAACTCGTCTAATTCGGAAGGAGAAGGAGGGGGTGAATTATCAAGGATGATCGTTGACAACGAGGAGAACGATCGGGGGGAAAGCGGCAGTTCGGGAGAAGGTGGTTCCGAAGGATATATTGGAGAGTAACTAGGGGAGTAACTCGGGGAGTAGTGATAGGGGGAAAGAGGAAGGGTTGTGTGTTCAGTGGCTGTGTCTATGTGTGTTTTTACTGAGTAATCACTATTATTACTACTGGCTATGGTTAATTTTAAGTCTATAAAAGTTCGCGTATTCTGATTCGCGGAACGGACCTTTGCAGTGGCGAGTTGGAATTCGTAATTTTTTCCCGATCTGGTTCTCACTATGGAACCAGTGACAACGCTATTTATTGCGGGAATAAAAATGTAATTAAACTGAGTTATTAGAGACTTACTCTTGTTGCTGATTTTTGATTAGTAGGTTAAATAGATTGCCAAAACTTGTCGTCCTTTGTTAGTATGTAACGCTGTGCGGATGCCGGGTTGGGCTGAAGACGACGCCAAGACGAGGACACTGATATTGAACTGGTCACTCTTTTTCTAATTGCAAGTTTTGGTTTTATGCGCGCACACGAGACAGATTGCCCGGTACTGATTGATGTTGAAAGAATGAATGAATAATGAGTTGTTGAGTCTTACGAGTTCTTTCTTTTATAATTCCCTTTTTGAGGGCGTCTTCTAATTTTTAGAGTGGGATCTTCCAAAAACTTTAACGAATTGAAATTATGCAAAAGTAGGGATTCTTCAAGATTTTAACGAATTAGAATCGTGCCAATGTCCTTATTCGGCAGGGGGTGTCTCCTATTTTCATATTTTTACCCGTGCTGATCGTCGGTTGGTGAGTTTGATATTAGTTGAGAAATTCTTTAAACATTAGCCTTTCCGGGGGACTCTCGCGCACATGATCTGATTAGAAAAGGGTGTTACTTCCTTATAATTATTTTTGTCAACGTTG